AAAAAGGACCAGGGACTTAGCTCAGTGGTAAGCACCCCTGGGTTAAACCTCCAGTACCACACACACACACAAAAGGAACTTTGCAGAAGGTTAGCTTTGGTGGGTGATGAGGGAGGACAAACAGACCTTGGGGTCTACTACCAAAGCAGAAAGAGCTCCCAGGAAGCCCAGCCCCAGAGCCCAAGTATCCCCTCCATTCCTCATGGAAAAAGCAATATCAACCATTGATTGGTGTCTTCTTTGTGCCAGGCATTCAGTGTTTGTTGAAAAAAAAAAGATGAATGAATGAATGAAAGACTAATTTTAGAACCCACATTCTTAATCTTTGTATCCTCCATTCTGTCTCCCACATTCCCACGAACCAGTTACCACACAAGTGAATCAGAGTTAGCTAAGCACTCAAAGACCTCGTACCCCAGTGCCCAGAGGTGGCATAGAGCAGGTGCTCAGGAAATATTTTCTGAATGAATCAATCAAATACTAGCCCCTTGCCGCAGTCTGGCTGGGCACAATCAGGAGCCACTTGTCAAAAGAAACTAACTTTATTTTTAGAACCACACACGCCAAACAAAACAGCCTCTCAGGAAAAACCCTCAGAGCCTCAACTGCCACCACCGGCTTTCCACAAGCCTCTCTCTCCCACACAAGCTTCTCTCCACCTCCCACAATCCTCCTGCTCTTGAGGCCGATTGGCTGGGTCACGTGGGCGGAGCCAAAAAAGTCCCCCAATGAGCAGCTCGTGGTCTGAAAGGGCAGGGAAACAGCCCAATGAGCATCACCACAGAGGAGCCAATCAGCTAGATGTTGCTGGGGCCGCTGTGAGCCAATCATCAGCCAGCAGCTGGAAGTTTGCTGGCAGCTGGAAGTTTGCTGGGGCCCCTTCGGCTGTGGCTCTCAACAGCCCCTCATTATCAGACATGGAAATTAAGGCCCAACGAGTCAGGGACCTGCCTGAAAAGGGAGTCATGGAAGAGCAGGTTCAGATCCTCAGGTCTCCAGGAACTCAGCCTGGGGCTCTTTCCTCTGTATTAAAGGGTCCCATGGCAAAGTTCTCTCACCTTCCCAGACCCCTTCACAAGTCCCTTATTCCCCCAGCTTGCCCTCTTTGCTTTCTCTTTGCCCGCTGGATAATTAACCATTGGAAACAAAAGCTGTCATTATTGTTTTCCCTATGTCCTTAAATTGCTTTCATACTAGGCTCTGTGACCCCCATTTTGGGTGGGGGCTGATCACCCCCTCAGCAATCTACAAAGGGGAGTCATCTTAACGGGTACCAGCTGGGGCCCCAACCCTCAGATCCATTGGCCAGCTGTACAGGAGGCCAGCAGCAGATGGGTGAGGAGGGTCCCCAGACAGGCTGGGGCTGACTCAGCTGGGGTGTCTAGTGGGACTGTGACATGCCCAGGCAAGATAGGAGGCCAGGCAGGCAGGCGGGCGGGCCGGATTTCCGAGAGTGACTGATGCTAGTGGCTAGAGGGCCGCTTGCTCAGCAGAGCTCAACCTAGGATGGCCTCAGTTGGGCCAGGGTCCTTTCTCGGGTTCTTCAGCCCACCCTGGCTACTGTGCCAGGCCACATACATCTGGCTGAGGTGCCTTCTGGGAGCTAAAAATTGACTGGTACAGTAAGGTCACAAGAACTTTGGTCTGGTACTATAAAGCCAGGCTCTTCAAGGAAACTGAGGCCTGGTTAGCACCTGCTGTTTGACTTTATCAGGGAACTGGGTTCAGCCTACAGAGGAAGCCAGGCAGCCCCACCCTCACCTGGGAAGCATCCTCTATCCCTGACTCACCATTCACTTGGGCCCAGCTGGGACAGGAAGGAGAGTAGAGGGTGGGGCAGGTCTGGGGCCCCACCAGAGGAGGCTCACACCTCCTGCCTCCAGCTAGCTAGGCTTGGTCCCTCCCTGACCCAGGCCGATGGGAAAAGGGAACTGAGGTGGGGAAGGTTCCTGTTCCTCAATATCTCATTTCCACCTCCCAGAGGCAAGAAGTGGGGGAGTCAGGGGTGAGTCACACCCCTCACTCTTCTATTTGCTTCCGGTATATTCAAGGACTAGGCTTGAATCCTAGTGTCCTGTTCACCTGACATCTGTTCTTTGGCAAGCTGCAGCCTCTTGCAGGGTCTCTGTTTCCTCATCTCAAATACAAACAATTCCCCAACTGCCACCCTCACAAGGATACTTTATGAGGTCCAATGGGATAAAGGAGGTAAAAAGTACTTGAAACAAGTGGCAGGGGCTGGCCAGGTGAAAGATGCTATGCCATAAGGCCTAATAAGCACCACAGTGTGATTGGCACAATGTACGTGCCGAGCTTCAACTAGCGCCAGTCACAATGCCCATGCCAGGGAACAGCTAGTCAGTCACAGACCTTCTGGGCTCTCTGATGCCCCATACTCTTCTTGGCCCTCTCTCTCCCATTTTACTTACGTCCCCACAGCAGACTTCCAGGGTGCCCCAGGAACTCCATCCCCCACCTGTCAGGGGGAGGCAGCTGGTATCCTGGGTGGGGTGGGAGATCACAAAAGGACTCTCAGTTGGAGAAGTACAGGATGAGCTCATTCAACCTGGGGCCAGCTCTACCTCAGTTGGAGGCACTAATCTGGCCTAAAACATCCCTGGTTAGAGACCCCCCCACCCTGGCCAGGCCAGGCCCCACTCTGGGCAGGCAGTCAAGCAACAGAGGCCACATCTGATCCAGGCACTTCCTTTGGTTAATGAGAAACCAAATAAACAGCCTCTGCCCCAGCTGGCTCCAGGAGCACCCCAGCCCAGCCCAGCCCAGCCCGAGCCCAGCCTCCCTTCCCTCTGCCTGCAAGTCCCAGGGCTCTCCTCCCCCTGCCTTCTCCATGCGCTCCCCACTTCCCGCAGAGGCCTGCCTGCTCCTTGGCTGGTTTGCTGGGGCTTCCTGCTCTGGATCCCTTACTCACCCTCCCCTTCCTTCCTCCTCCTCCTTTCCTCTACTGCCTTCTTACCCATTTTTAGCTGCTGGGATCTCACTTGCCCTCCTCCCCTGACATCTGTCTTAGCATCTCCACAGGGAGTCCCCCCACAAGGCCCACAGGCTCCTCCAGGTTAGAACAGGATGGCCCTAAGCCCTGCCAGTCTGTGTCTCTGCTGTGGGATCCAGGCCAAACCCTCTTCGGGGCCTTCTCCATACTCTCTGACCCGAGCAAGTTACTCATCGGCTTGTGGGAGGGAGGCTGGGTGCACAGGGCTGCCCTAGCTTGAGGGCTCCCACTATCAGCCAGAAGCCCCACGTAAGCCATGGTGGAGGCTCTGGTGTGGCCGAGCTCTAAAGACAGGTAAAGGGAGATTATATTGGCTGAGAGGTGGACTGGGCAGCCGGTAACCACCCCAGTGGGCTGCGGCCAAAGCTCAGCTCTTGGGAAGTTATTTCTATCGACCTCCAGGTGTCCTGAGGCAGAATAGGGCTGGGCCTGCCAGCAGGCCCCAGATCTAGCCCCAGCCAGGTGGTGGAAGTACTTGCAGACACACCCAGGTCCCCATGGGAACACCTCCCCCACCAATCATTTCTAGCTGAGCCTGGTGTCAGACTGGGCAGATGTCCATGGCCTGTGCCACAGAGGTGAAAGGATGGACACAAGAAAATGGTTCCACGCTCCATGGCAGAACAAGGAGACACAGAAACCTGAGGGAAAGGGGAGCAGCAGGATCATGGGGCACTTGAAATATTTTGCTTGGCTAGGATGGCCACTCTGTTCACATTACCAGTGACTTGGGGCACACGGAATCTCACATATGCACGCACACACACAAATGCACACCAACGCACGCGTGCACACTCTCACGCTCCACTTCCCAACATCATGACACCATTTTACACCCATTTCTCCATGTGGTTAATTTTTTTTTTTAGTTCTCATTTTTTCTAAGAAAAAAGCAACAAGAAAATAATTCGGAGTTTATACAAAACATCTTTACATTATTTTTTTCCAAAAAGACTAGTATTTACACAAATGGCAACAGAAACAAAAAACAAAAAACCCTTCCAACTGCCACCTGGAAGGGGCTGGCTGTTCTGCTCACTCTCCCACCTGGCACTGGGGTGGGCGGCTGGCTAGGAGGCAGTGTGGAGGTGGATGGTGTAAGGCCAGCTCCTTGCATGGCCGCTCTGGGAGTGCCTGCAAGGCGCACTCAAGTGGCAGTCTGTTAGCAGCCTTGCTGGCAAGGAGCAGGGGTCAAAGTGCACGGCGGGCTGGCCCAGCCTGGGGCAGCCTCTTCCTCTTTCCAGGCTCCAGCCCAAGACTGGGGAGCAGGGACAGTGGGAGCTGGTTGGGTGGGGGGCACCCAACTATGCTAGAGCCCAGAAAAGGAGCAGACCACCTAGCCTTATACCCGCCTAGGTCTCCACCCTGGGCCTCTGTTTCCCCACCAGGCCAAGGGATGCTGAAGGTGAGGAGAGAACAGGGCTGGGGGAACTCCCAGCTCTGCAGGGCAAATAGCCACCTGGGCACCTCACCTCCCTCCACCCCCCATGAGGTCATCTGCCTGCAGCAGCTCTCCTGTTCCCCAGGCAACAGCCAATTAAGACATTAATTACCGTGAGAGTGAGGGAGGCAGGAGATGCCCAAGAATCCCACAAGGAAGGGATTTTTTTTTTTTTTTTTTTGGTGGAAGGGTGGCAGCCACTACCCCATTGCCAGGATCAGCTTTGTAGAAGGAGGGTCAGGAGGGGAGGGCGGGACACCTTGCACAATGGCACTCTCCTCTTCCCTCCTGGGCAGGAACGGCCCTGGCCTGCCCTACCCCCCCCCCCCCCCCCCCCGAAATACCAAGGAGCCTATAAAAGAAATGCCGTCCTGTGCTTCCTGGCTGGCCACGTTCTGCCCCAGGCCCTCTTATACTGGGTCAGGGCAGGCTCAGAGAGCCTGGGGAGGGGCTGCCTTGTACATTTTTCCATTTTTCTTCAAAAAAACAGATGAAAATGAGTTGACAGCTAAAAAAATGAACACAAAGGCATTATAAACAGTGATGATAGTGGACGAGCAGTCCTGGGAAAGGGGAAAGGGGGCAAGGGAGGGGGCAGGGCCAGGGGGCCGTCTCCCTGCTTGCTGTCCATCAGCGTCCAACCCTGCCCTCCGAGAAAGGGCGCCCCCACAGAGCCCAGAGGCCTGGCCAGAGGGGGAAGGCACAAGAGCATGGGGGTTGGGGGCACAAACACCCCCCTCCGAAGCCCAGGGGGCAGGGAAAATGGGGGATTATAAAAGCCAAGAAACTACAAAACTAAATACAAAGGTGGGCACAGCTGGCAAGGGGAGGGGCATGGGGGAGAAAGGAGAGGTCCGGTCCAGGCCGTCTGTCCCTCGGGGGCCCGAGGCCATGCTGGGCACTTAGACCTTGTAGTAGATGTTCGCTGGGCTCTGGGGTGGCATCTCCTGGACGATGTAGACCGGATGCCCATAGTCCCCACTCACCTTCTCATAGTGGGGGCAGTAGTTGTTCTCTGTAGTCCGTAAGGGGATAATGATGTCGCTGGGCTCAGTGCCCGCTGTGCCACTACCCCCCTTAGGACTGGCCAGGGTACTAAGCGAGAGGGCAGCCGCCCGCTGCTGTGTGTGTTTGCGGTGCCGCTTGCGTAGCTTTAGTAGTAGGACCGTCAAGAAGATGATGATGAGCAGGAAAATGACGCAGCCAGCACCCACGGCTGCAAACAGTGCCACCTTGGAATTGAAGAAGCTGTCGGAGTCCCCACCGCTGCCCCCACTTGCACCTGGGCCACTCTTCTCTTCCTGGTTCACAGTCTCTGAGGAAGTAGCAGGGAGGGAGGAATGGTTAGTCAGGGGAAGATGGTGCCATTGACACTAATGGCTGTAAATAGTGCTTGGAGTCAGAAGAAGCCATCATAGGGTGCCCACTGCCATCCAAATTTACTACAGATATGTGGCAGTTTTCAGGGTGGGCCCAGATTAGGTTTCTTCTGAGACGGGGCCTGAGAGGGCATTGGAGCATATACACTTACCGTGCTTGCCATCAGAGTCACCCTGGGAGCCCCGACCAGGGGCCTGTGTGGCTGTCTTGACAGTGTTGTCTGCCTCCTTGCTGGGCCGGCTAGTAGTCAGCTGCTCAGGTGTCACAGCATTGGGATCTGAGGGCAGGGATAGGACAGATGAGAGGGAGGGGTCCTGCCAGCATAGATGCCCTTGGTCATCTAAATGTGGGACCTTAGCTACTTTAACCCGGTCCTCCTCCCCCACTCCCAACACCCCAGCCAGCCAGGAATATGCATTCCAAAGGCTTAGCTGGACCCTCACATTGGCCACTCACCTTGCCCAACCTTCATGACAATCTTCATAGTACGTGTACGGCATACACCCCCCTCACGGTTCTCCAGTCCCTCCAAGCTCCCATTGGATGTTGCTGTGGGAAAGCCAGAGAAGTCAGGAAGAAGGGAATGTCTGCCTGCATTACCCAGAAACCTCAAAGCTGCCTCAGCCAACAGAGATGGAACTGGGAGTAGGGAGTGGCAAGCAGCTTGTGAACCTTTCTACGTCCCTCCCTCCTGTGAGGAACACTGTAATCCAGCCCAGCCAGGCTAAGAATAAGTCCTTCCCCAAGAGGCAGTGCTCCTCTCCCATGCCCAGGCCTTGGTCCCTCTTTTTACAGGGACAACATTAAGAGATGCCTTCCCACTAAGAGATATTGCTCAGAGGCAAAGCAATTAGACCTGACATCACGAGAGAGGCTTCTACGTGGACTGGAAGAAATTCAAGATCAGAAGAACCAGATTGGAGTCCCAAACCTATCTCTAACTCCCCATGTGACCAAAGGTCCCTTGGTGGCCTCAGTTACCTGATAAGAAAAAGGCAGAAGTTGCTTGGTCCCAAAGGGCTCTGCCAACTCTGCCATTCCCAAGATTAGATCTTAGGTGGGCAAGAAAAGGAGACAGAAAGCAACAGGAATTGGAGGCCTCTCCCACCCAACCTTTGGTGCCAAGGCAAGCTGGCGGCCGGCCACACAGGGAATGCTAGGGCCAGAATTCCAAGGCCAGGCTGGGAGGGGAGCACGCCTGTCTTCAAAGGGTAGGACCTGAACTGTGTGTGGTTTCACTGCACCACTTAGAAGCTTCTACTGGGGCAGGAGGGAAGAGAGCCACACAATGCGGGAGGACTCACAGGTAATGTAGTAATCATGGTGCTTTTTGAACTCCAGGCCCATGTAGTTTGGGCTGAACTCCTGGAACTTGATGGTAAAGCGGATTTCCTGTTCCGGTCTGTTGCAGGTGACCAGCACATTGGGGTCCAGCACAGTGCTGCAGGCAGCCGCCTGCTCTGGCCGCACCAGGTACAGCTTGTAGTACTCGTAGGGCCGCCCTGCTTCTGCTCGGGGGCAGATGATGTCCAGCTTATCTCCAATCTTCGGGTAGATCACCAAGCCTTTCCCACTGAGGAACCTGTCCAGAAAGGAGGTGGTGGTCAGCTTCAGGGCTGTAGGGGCCCAGACCAGCCCAAAATGAAGGGAACAGGCAATGAGGGCCTTCTGGGTGGGGATATGGAGAGTAGGCCTTCTGCCCTTCCCCCATCCTCAGGCTGGGGGTGGGGAGAGAGAACCACACTGCCAGCAGGGTGTGGAAGGGGTGGCCCATGGGCAAGGCTGCCAGGCTTTGAGTGCTTGGCAGGGTGGGGCACTGCCTGGCTGGGGGAGCCCTTTGTCCTAATGTGGCATTTCCGCAGGGGGCTGACGTGGCCAAATGGGCTGAGTACCAAGGTGTCAGGCCCAGGCTGTCTGGAGGTGGCAACCTTGTCCCCCCCGCCTCCCTAACACATTCACATTCCTTCATGGTCACTGCTACCTTCTCTCCTCTCTCCTACACACACACACACACACACACACACACACACACACACACACACAGAGCAAGCCCACACATGCCTTCACTCCCACCCCCGCAGCTCCCAGCCCAAAGCTGGGGGAGCTCAACCTGTCTGGGACCCATGCCTTTTCCCCTATCCTTATTAATCTTGGGTGTGATGAGGAGAAAGGAATAGGCATTGCCTTGAGCCAACGGATGATGGTCACAGTAACTGGCCAGGTGCAACTCCAGAATGTCCTACTGGTGACCCACCCCACCCCCATAATAAAAGAGCCTGAATCCACAAATAGCCAGTTTCACTCCTAAGAAGAACAGAGGGAGGGGGAGAAGGGGCCCGACCCAGACACATCAAATCACATAAGACAGGGCCTCAGGAACCCCATTCATCTGTGTTCTGACCCCTCACCTCCACACTGCTCCCATTCCACATCCTGAGAGTAGACAGACAGATGCCTTTTGAGCCAGGGTTCATGCTGTAATCTAGGAGGCCAGGCACCAGAGTATAACAGGGAAGGGTGGCTGTCTAGGGCCACTTATGCGTTCGACTCTGCCTTTGCCTAAGCACAGTAAGAAGGCAGAGCTTCCCATTTCTGAGCCTAGGCAGGTGAGAGCTGAGAGTGCAACAGTAGCATGTAGAAAAAAGAACAGACTGGGGAATGATATGGCAATGCTAGGCCCTGGCTAGAACCGTGGCCTTGGATGAGCTGCCTGATCTCTCTGAGCTTCAGTTTCCTCACGTGTAAACTGGGGGTGGTAGGAGCCCCTATCTCCCAGGGTTGTAGTGGAGAGAAGAGGCAGCACCTGGAGAACACCCTGCACATAGTAGGCACTCAACAGTTCCAAATCCTTCTTAGCAATAATCTGCCAACAGGCAGAGATCAGGCACTAACACTAAGTACCCCTGAGCCTAGTCTTGTTTCTTAGACTGGAAATAGGAAGAGAAGAAACAGCCCCACTGTCAAGGACCTTATTGTTCGGTTTGGCCCAGAAAAGGCCCACATTCTAGCTAGTGAAAGATAACCCTAGGCTAGCTGTAGGTTACTTGTGAGGATGGTGTTTCAAGCAGCAAGGGCTAAATAGAGGCAGTCGAGGGAAAAAAAAGATGGCTCAGAGATGGTTCCATAGAAAGAGCAGGATGAAGGTGGATCCTGTGTGAAGCATAAGAATCCAACATGCAGCAAAGGTGGACAGCAGTGGATGGGACAGGGGAAAGATGAAAGAGGTGGAAATGATCAGCTAGGGCCAGACTGAAAGGCCTCAAGGGCCAGGACAAGCAGGGTGGGTTTCATTTCCCTGGTGACAAAAACTCTCTAACACGGTAGTGGAGGGCTTAAGGTAGTGCTTAAAAAGGAGAAGGAGACAGACATGCTGCCCAGCTGTGCTGGCCAAGGGCACCAGTTCACGTGCTCCTATGATCATCTGGGAGGAGAGTGATTCCATTTTCTGAAGGCTCATGACACACAGTGGGAACAAACAATGAGGGACTACTGGGAGATCTGAGCAAATGCCTTCACATTGCCAAACCCTGTGTCCTCATCCACAGGAGGGAACTCATCAAGTGGATGGAGTAGATGAAGAAAAGCAGCCCTCCTTCCTTGCCACATGATGCTTCACCAAGCTGGGAGCTGCCATCTTGATGCTTAGGAGGGTAAATGCCAGAAAGGAAGTAGGCATGGGACGGAGGCCCAAATGAACATTTGAGAGGAAATGCCCCTGTCCATGTACCATGCAAAGCCCACAAGTTTCACTGAAGTTTTTATAGTTCCCAAGGCATTTGTCACTTTCCAGTGCCCACACTGGTTCTATCCAGATGGCAGGAACAGACAATTTCTAAACATCTTAGAGCCCAAAGAAACATTAGAGACTTCCAGAGATCAGATGAATGTTCCCACTGAGGAGAGAGGTGTTCAAAGTCAACTGGAGGGGCCAGAAGCCAACCAGGATGATAATCCCTAGAGGCCTAAGAGAACCTAAAACATTGGTTGTACCTCAAAAAGACACAGAAGGTACTGGAAAGAGAAACAGGCTAATCTTTCTTTTATTCCTTCTTTCTTTCTTTCCTTCCTTCTTTTTCTTTCTTTCTTTTTTTTTTTTTTGTGGTGCTGGGAATTGAACTCAGGGCTTTAGGTATGCGACACAAGCACCCTACCAACTGAACTATATCCCCAGGCCCCAATTTGCCTTTCTAACCACTTGGCCCTGGCTTACTCACCTAGGAGAATTGTCTGTCCTGGTGCAGTCTGCCATTGCCACCCAGGCTCCAGAAGCCCCAGATGGAACAAGTCTACTCAGTGTTCTACCTTGAACCCAAGGACATTGAGGAAACAGAAGTCTACAAGGTAGGGATGTGAGGGGGCACTATTGCTCCCAATACCCCTCAGTCTTGCCAACCTTAGTGAACAAACTTCATAAATATTCATTAGTTCATTTGCATAGAAGCTGGTAGAGGGAAACTCACCTTCCCCTAAATTGTGGAAAGGCAGGGGAATCTGATGAGACCTGATGTCCCAGACCCTAATTGCCCACACTGGTAGCTGCTTAGCATCTCTCCCTGCCCCAGCACTGGGCAAACTTCATCTTGGCCTGTGAGAAACCCAAGAAAGTGCGAGGGATCACCAAGAGTGGACATTGAGAGTGAAGTCCTAAGCAATGTTAATGACACTTTATAGGGAGACCCTCTATGTCTCTCCTTTTTCTTACCAGGTTAGGAGTAGGAGAGGAGAAGGAAAACATGTGTCTAAGTTAAACTCTCTATCCTCCACACCTTTCAAAAACTATTAACGCCCCCCCCCCCCCTTATTGAGCCAAGCTTTCCTGCCTGGGGCCACCCCCAGACAAAGCCCTTTTCTGGAAAATAAGGGGATTGACATGGCCCAGCAGGAAGCCTGAAGCAGGTCGCCATGGTAACCCCTGAAGCCTTTGCTCCCTAGCCTCTGATAGCCTGGGGACCCCAGGGAGCCACCCCAGGGTGTAAAAGGACTTGGGGGAGGCAGCCAGGACTATTCTGGCTCCTGTCTTATGGTTGGCCCCTTCCCATCTAGGGTAGCCCAAAGCCCTCCCTCAGCCATTCTACTGAGCTTACAGGTAATATCATGATTGCTCAAAAGAAGCCTGGTATATGAAAAGCCTAGAGGATCTGGGGACAGCAACCTTCAAGGCCCTGGACTGGTCAGAAACCAATGTCTCCCTGCCCTCCCCTCATGTATCTTCTGACCAGAAGAGGCCTTCTCCACCCTTTTGCAGATGATCTATAGGGGGAGATCTTGCAGCAGGGACACAAAGCTGCCTGCATACCACTGGGTCTAAACTCCCTTCCCTCCCACCCTTTCCTCAGGCTCCAGCGACTCAGGGTCATCAGAGAATGGTGAAAGTGGAGTCTGATGGAAGACCATGCAAATGCAAGCTCAGAAGAAGATCTGAGCCACATACAGCCTTGATTTGGTGACCCTACCACTACTGAGCCTGTTCCCCTAGGGTGGCAAGACCAGTGGAGGACGGACCCCAAGCCAGAGCTCAAGTCTGCTCTCATCTCAGCTAGGGTGGGGAGCCCCCAAATTAAAGGCTCCTCTTTCACTCCCCCAACTCCACCCAGCCCCCGAGGCAGCAGGAGCAGGCCTGGCGTGTCCCAGCAGTGCCCGCCCAGGCGTGGGTGGGCAGGAACAGCAGCTGGGTCCTGGCACACACACAGCTCTGTCAGAGGCAGGGAAGCCAGGAGAGTCCCAGAGGAAGCCACCCTCACCACCTACATGAACTATGGCCACCCCTCTGCCCCAGCTGGCCAAAACTAGTGTCCACTGGGGAAGGCTTAACACCACCTCCAGGTTGTTTGCTCTCCATGGTGTCCCTGAGAGGAAGACAGATTCCTGGCCCAGAGCTACTCAGAGCTCAGGGGGGAGTGCCACAATGCTAGCTGGCTGCCTGGGATTCAGGTGGCCCCAGCAGGCTGCCCTGGGAGGTAGCCTAGGGAGTTAAATGAGGAAGCTGGAGCACTCCTTATGTTACACAGGGCCTGAGTCACAAGGGCAGATGCATGCCTACCTTTGAGGTGAGAGTGGAAGCCAGGGGCAGCAGGGGGCCAGCACCTCTGGCAGAGCCCTACCTCAAATTCCTGTGTTTCCTAGATTCCGGGGCAGCAGGATGATGTGGAAAGAATGGCTTAGACAAGTCACCAACTGATCTCAGACAAGTCACTTCGCTTTGCTGGGCATATGCCCCCTTATTTGGAAAATGGGACCAATACCTACTCCCCAGGGCTGTGGGGAGCATCCGATGAGATTACAGAGGAGACTATGTGGCAAGGAGCAAGGTGCTGCCTGCCTGTTAGTTAGCATGCCAACCAGTGTCGTTTTGGAGTAGAAAATGCTCACACCCCTGGCTGCTAGCGCCCAGATCCCAAACCACTACAATACACAAGACAAAAATAATGCACCCAGTAGGGGCTTCAAAGGTTCACAGGGCCAAGATTCCAGAATAGGCTGGTGAGCATCCCCCACCTCAGCTCCACTAATAATCACAGGGTGGACCCTCCCCCAAACCTGGAGTTCCCATGGCAACCAGCAGCCTCCTGACTGGCCTGTTCTCCCCACACTCCTAACCCCAGAAAACAGCGATGCACAGTAGTATCCAGGAGTACCCATTTACCTGAGCTGGGGATGCGACAGAGAACTCAAAGGAAGAAAAGGAACCCTCAATTCAGCCCTCACCCGCACCTCACAGGCCCTTCTTGCCCTTGCCTGGCTGCTCTGGGTGGGGGTAGAGAGGCAGAGCAACTGGCAACTTTAATAAACTGCTGGGTTCCCATCACTCTCAGGCCCCCACCTGTGGCCAATCAGCCAGAGTAGAAGAGGTCAGGTCTCTAGCCACCCCGGAAAGGGGCCCCTTGAGCTGGCCTCCCCAGGACTGTGAGCTACAACAGCTGTGAGGGGGCTGGGACCAACACTTTGGCTTGTAGCAGGCAAGCAAGAATTGGGGTCTGCAGCTGCCCCCACCCATGCTGGAGTCAAGGGTCCCACATGTCAAGCTGAACCCCCCACCCCCACATAGGGAAGGTTTGTAATGTGATCTCAGGCACATTCCCCTCTCCCTAGAAGTGGGGGAACCTGAGTGGGGGGCAGGAAGGGGTCAGAACAGGACTGAGAGACTGAACTGCAGCAGCTGGACTTGGCTGAGGACTCAAGTGTGAGGCCTGCCGGCTGCCCCAAGGTCTCCGGGGGAAGAGGCTGGGGGAGGGGGCCGCTCTGGGACCATTTAGATCACAGCCCCCGACTCAGGCGTGTAGACACAAACTCTGATTTCTACCAAACTCGAGAAGGACCAAACCCATCTCCCCACTCAGTACTCTTGGGGCAAATCTGACAGGAGGGGCCCAGGAGGTAGCAGCTCTTGCCACCCCACCCCCCAAGTCTCCAGCACCAATTTGGGACAGAAGCTGGGAGTCTCAAGCCAGCCCATCCAGCTCCCCTTTTCAGTTCAGGCTGGGGCTGTGTGCGCCCTGGAACCTGAAAGCAGACCCCCAGCCCCATCACTTCTTTATTTTGATTTTTTCCCAATGAGGAAGCAATTAAGCAGGGTTTATAGGCACTGGGAGATTTTTTTGTTGGGGGGGGGTGCCAGCTCCTGACAGGGCTTAGGAGAGAGACCAAAAGCCAGGAGAGGAAGAGAGGAGGGAAGAGAGAAAATGAGCCTGCGAGGGAGAGCACGGGCATGTGCGAGAAACAAAAGGACTTGAGAAAAAGAGGCAGAGAGTGACTAAGAGTGAGAGGGAGTGTGAGAAAGAGGGAGAGCAGGCGAGCCGAGCTGGAGAGGGTAGGTGAGCGCTGCTCACGGGAGGGTGTGAGAGGATGACCGACATGGGCCAGGGAGGGAGAACTCGGGCAGGAGGTACAGAGGGAGAGACAGAGAGAGACTGTTTATTTGAAAGGCTGTGGCAGCCTGCGGGTTGGGCGCGGTGGCAGAAGCAGCCCCCAGAGCTTGAGTGGAGCCCAGGGCAGTGCCTCCCTCCTGTGCTCCTGCCCCCCCACCCCGCGCCAACACACGCAGAGGGCTGCATTCCAGACCCCTGAGCGTAGATGGAACTCTGGGGGGGGGGGCGCATTGGGATCAGTCCCTGACCATTCCCAGGATCTGCTAAATTACAGGATGGAATTCGGGCAGGTTCTACTGAGTCCGCTACCACCCCCCATCCCCACCCCAAACCTGTGAACCCGTCCAGAGCACTAAAGGCTCAGAACACAAAAAACGGGGAAGCTCCAGGAGAGATCTTGTTTCTTCCAGCACCCCCAACTCTGCAGGAGGGCTCCTTTCCAGCTGTGGAGCTGCATGCTATCTCTGGTTAGAGACCCGAGAGAGCAATTAGGTCACTCCCATGAGCCCCTAGGATGGGCTACCCCAGCCAGATTTCAACTCTCCAGGCTCCAGAGAGCATTTCCAGTTTCCATCCTTACAGCGGGTAACTGGGCACTTCACACAACCTTTTCCCCTGGGCTCTGCAATCCAGGGTCCCCAGACCACTTTGAGCCTCTGCAGTTAGAAGAGCACCGCACTCCATTTGGCTTCTAGGTAGGGAGAAATTCTTGCCAGTCTCTTTCCTTGTACCAAAGCAGAATTGTCCACCCTGACCCTAGTTTAGCCATCCCACCGACCAGTAGTAAGAAGCCTATCTTAATCCAAGAAGAGAACTAAAGAAGCCACTTTCTCCCGCTCCAGGGCTGAGAAATGCTCGGCCCCTGGAAACAAGAGGCCACGGCAGACAGGGGCCTGGGGAAGTTAGCTGGGAGCCCGCAATAGTGGACAGTGAAAATTCCAGATACAGGGGTTGGAGAGGAGGGATGGGGCAGGTCAAAGCCCCCAGTTTTCCCTTGTGTGGGGTTGTCCACACACTGCCAGGACCTCCAGAAAACTGGAGAGTGATTTTGACCCCGGGTTCCAACGAAAGTCCTGCAAGCCAAAAGAGAAAAAGGTCCAGAGGTCACCACAACAGCCCCAGCGACTCCCCACTAACAGCGCAGAAACCACTGAGCCACCGCCCTGAAAGGTGTGTGTGTGTGTGTGTGTGTGTGTTGTTTGGAGGTGAGAGAGAGTTGTGGAGGGAAGCAGAAGAAAGAAAAGAAAGGATCTCCTTTATATCCCCCCAATCCCTTAAAAAAAAGCTAAACGCAGCTCCCCAATCTTGGGTACACAGAGTAGGGGACCAAAGGAACCTGCCTGGGCAGGAATCGCTAGTTCCCCACCCACCTCCCTCGCCCGCTCGGCCGCCCGCTCGGCCGCCACTCTTCGCCCCGGCGGGCCCTCGAAGAAGCTCTGCTGCCGGCTCCATTGGACCCCCGACAGGCGCTGGATCGAACCCCCTCCCCAACAAACAACCCCTCTCCCACTCCGCCCCTCTCCACCCGCCGCCTTTGTGAGCCTGGGAGCAGCGCCCGCCTTTCTACCGCCCCGGCAGGGAGGGGGGGGTACAAGAAGAGACGGCAAAGCAAAAAGCCAGGGAGGCAAACAGGGAAGAAAGAAATGAAAATGGGAGAAGCTGGAGTGGGGATACAGGCGCTGCCACTCGCCCCAGGCGCCGGGTCCCGCGCCGCGTTACCCCCACAGCTAAACAAATGAGGAACCTGTGTTCTGGCCTCGTCCCCCACCCAGGTCAAGCTTGCCTCCGGAGCGGCTCTCGGAGAAAACCACCACGTTCCCAGGGGCCCTGGAGGGGACTGCTTTCTCTCTCCCACCCAGCTCTCGGGTGCGCTCTTGAGCGCCCGGACTCCCCAGTTCTGCCTGGTGCGATCATCTCCTCTTGATCTGGGACGTGCGGAGGCGAAGGCTGGAAAGCCGAGGGGTCACAAGTACCCCCACCCCACCGCACCCCGCCGCACCCTGCCCCGCCTGCCAGCAAGAAAACACTAGAAAAAGCAGGAGACAAAATGGGGCGCCGCTCCTCCTCCGAACACCTCCCCACACGCACTCGGGGGCGCGCGGCCTCACCCTAGAGTGCCTCCAACCCCCAGGGATCAGAGCAGATAAGTTACTCACTTGGGGTTGAGGGAGCTCCAGGATACGGGCTCCAGGTTCTTGGCCAGCGGCGTGGCGAGCCGGCACAGCGCCAACACGACCATCGCCACAAGCCACTTGCCGAGCCAACGCTGCCCAGGCCGGGCCATCTTCCCGGGGGCAGGCTGCACTTCGGAATCCCCTGGCGTCTCCTCAGCAAAGCTCTCCTCGCTTTCCCGTGCTGCGCTGTGCTTTGAGCCACTCAGGCGCCCATCCTCCGCAGCCGCCGGCCTTGAAGTGCTCCCCTCCCGCCGGCTTCGGTGTAGCTCTTCTCCGCCCGGCCGGCCAGGAGGACTCACTGGGCAGGCGCCCCCAACCCGGGCATGGGCTGCGGCCTCCGAGGACTAGCTCCCCTGGCCTCTCTGCCGCACGAGGCGTGACGGGGGCTCTGCGCCCCCGGGTGATTCCGCCTTGTTCTGCTCGGCTCCCCGAGAGAGTTTGGGACTGTGTGCCCTCTCCCCGACGGGGTCTCCCCGCGGAGGATTCGGTGCCTGCCCCGACGCCTCGACCGTCCTGGGATTGGCGGCCCTGGGAAGAAGTGGGGGTATCCCCACAAAATGAGCTCGGTCCCCAGGCTCCCGAATGGGTCGCCCTGACACGGGCTCCGTTCCTCCGGGCCACACTGGGACTCCGGGCTGCGCGCCCCCCGACAGCTTCGACTTCAGCGCGGGCCCCGCTCAGTGTACTTAAAAGAGCGGGGAGACGCTGCTGAGCGAGCCAGTCCCATCAGTTTGCGCCTTTGAAGCCTCAGCCGGGTAGCCCGGCAGCCCCGTCGCCGAGTCCTTGCTCCCCGGCAATTAAGCCCTAGGGTCTGCGGCCGGAGCGAGCTTCACACACCTCCCACTGCTGTCCAGCGCGCATAGACTCCCTCCGCTGCCGCTGAGCTGTCTACTCCCCTGCTCAGGCGAACGCAAGGCCAACCCTGCTCTTTCTAGCCAATAGCAAGCTCCGTGGCGGGGTCCTTGCCCTATGCCACGCCCTCTTAGCAGGAAGGGGGCGGGGTTTCAGGGAGCTCTTAAGGACGCCGCGCTGCCGATGGCACCAATCTGAATGTGCGGCTCATGCGGTTAGGGTTGGGTTCTGCTTAGCTCGGTTCCCAGAGCGCTCTGCCCGTGGGAAGTTGGCGCTTCTCGAGAGCTACCGGCATGTTCTCCTCCTTGCACATCCAGTCAAAACCCTGACCCACTGACCTGGGCCAGGCAAGCCCTATCCCAAGTACCCCAGGAAACTACAGTACTTCCATCATTTTCTTTACACACACACACACACACACACACACACACACACACACGTCCTGAAGTCTTACTCTGGGCCCACCACCATGGCACGGACTGCCTATTTGCTCCTCGTCCCATCTCACATAGGGGCTCTGGTGGGCCTTCCTCCTTCTGCTCTTGAAATGCACTGTCTCTGCACTGAATATAACAAAAGTGGTAGCAGTGGGTGGTGGAGGCTCAAGTACTGGGTGGGCAAGGATTGTCTGCTCCCCGTCCAGTCTCACGAAGGGCTCTGTGCTGGGGTGGGCTTTCCTTTGGGCTTTCCTTCTGTCCTAGAAGTGCGCCTTAAGCCTGCTCTGAACATAACAAAAGCGATAACAGGGGGTGGTGGGACAAAAGTACTTGGGTGAGCAAGGACGGCCTGTCTGCTCCTCCAACAGGTCTCACGTGGGGCTCTGGTGGGCTTTCCTCCTTCCACCCTGGAAGTGCACCCTCGGCTTGCGGTAGCAGTGGGTGGTGAAGATTCAGGAAATGTACCAGGTCCATAGGGGAAAGGGAATTTTTTGCACCGGGATACCAGGCCTTCAGAACATTGGCTTTGGGGGGGAGCTTTGTGGGGTCCCTGGACACAGACTTAGTATCCTGCTCTGTCTGAAGGCGCCGGCGAGGCCCTAGAATAAGCAAGCAGGGATAAGAAGGCACCTCGATAAAGACCTCACAGGGACTGGGGATTATAGTTCAGTGGCAGAGCGCTTCCCTATCCCGCATAAAAGTCCTGGGTTCGATCTCCCCCCGAGAAAGACAAGACTAGAAAACGACAGCTCGAGAGGCAAAGGCGCAGGGCAGGGTCCTTTTGAAAAAGCAAAAGCAGGCATGCTGGCCCTGAGATGCCGGAGTCCAGCCTCTCCCGGCCTCACCACACCATCTGGGTCTTTGTCTCTAAGCCCTAGCCCATTCTCGCCGCCCCTCCTTGCCTCTTTGCTTATAACTTGGCTCATTCCCATAGCTCAGACCCTCCCGGTCCGACCCACTCTCCTCCGTGGGACCCCAGGAGAGGTACCCACGTGCTCATGTCTCCCCCTGCTGGTCTTCCACAGCACTGCCGGTGTCCGGGACAAACGGGGCGTATTTCAATACTAGACCCAGGATTGTCGTGGACAGGCGTGGCATTGGCAAGAACTGCCGCCAGGTGTGAAGAGAGCCAGGTGTGAAGAGAGTGAGAAAGATCTGGGTTCGGGGTTGGCCTTGGGAATTCCGAGGATAGATAGTCTCCCTGTTGCTTCTTTTAAAAAACATTTACTTTTTAGTTGTAGTCGGACACAATACCTTTATTTTATTGGTTTATATGTGGTGCTGAGGATTGAACCCAGGGCTGCCGCACAGCCAGGCAAGCACTTTACCGCTGAGCCACAACCCCAGCCCTCCCTGCTGCTTCTTTTTGGGGATAATTAGGTGAGCAACATTCCCTAAATGGTCTATCATTTATATGCAGTTTCATGTCCATTATCTCACTTAATGGGAGACTGAGCTGCTGAGTTGCTACTGCATCCTCTAATGATCTCTGGGGCTGTAGAGTGGGTCTCTATTTGGGGGAAAATAAAAAGGAAGAAGCTGAGCTCATCCCACCTTCAGGGACAAGGCCTTGATGGTGATATGTCTCTAGTTAAGATAGGGAAGAGCAAGAATAGTCCAGAAGCTCTTGAGTCCCAGCTGGACCTTGCACTGAGTGGTAAACTAGGGGATTGCTCAGTGGTAGAGTACTTTGCCTAGCATGCATGAGTTTGATCTCCAGCACCAACAAAATTAAAAAAAAAAATAAGTACAAGGACATAGCAATAGTCCCACTGGGAAATTAGATTCCTGAAGTGCATGTCAGGACATAAAAACCTGAATATAGAGAGCAATCTGCCATGTACTAAATGCCTACTATGTGTCAAGAGCCATGTTAGCCATGTTAACACAACCTTTGAAATGAGTTCCACTGTCTCCATTTTATTTAAGAGGGAATGCCCAAGGGGAAGAAGTAACTCACTGAAGGTCACAGAACTGGTCACTAAGGGAAGCAGGATTTGACTCCTGGTGTATGTGTCCCCAAAGCCTGTCCCATTCCCCTACACCATTCTGATTTGCCACGTTTCTAGCCCCTTCCTGCTTAATTGCTTTTGGGGTTCATTCCTAGTTCAAGGCTGGATCATGCATAGAAAGCGACAGCTTTCAGAAAGGATGGGACTCTACTCTTCACTCACAGTCCTCCAAGATGTTCCTAGGCTTGGGAAAGGCCGTCTATGTTCCTAGCCACAGCCCAATGGTATTCTCAGCTAAGACCACTACCGCCAATCCCAGAACTGGCCTCAGATTTTGTTTCTCTCCACAGCCAGCATGGTGTCCCTCTAAAGGATGGCCCCAAACCTGGTAGGGGCTGGGGGAGATGAAGCTATGCTGCCAGACTTGGAAAATGGAGGAAAGACAGAAATAATTCCTGAGCCAACAGGTAATCCTGGGCGGGGAGGGCGGAAGAGGAAGTGAGGAGAGGTCTCTTTATGTCCAGGCCTGCTCCACATGCTGGTCACCCCTGATCCTGGCACATCATTTCTGCCTCAACCTGCCCACAGGGGCCTCAGGAGCAGGGCTTAAACCTACTCCCTGCCACAGGCAGGACCAGTGACTCCAAGTTCCCACCTCCTGTTCCACCTTGTCAGGCCTCAGATAGAGTGATTCAGTCCCCTGAGGTAGGAAAAAATTATTCACCAGGGGAGTCTGGGAGACGGTCAGAATCTATGAGGGATGGCGGGGACTCTCTTATCCAAGCATTCCCTACGCCACTGGCTGTTATCCCCCACCCGAGACTGCCAAGTCACTGTGTCACCATGCCACCCCCACCCGATCCCTCAGAATCCAAGTCTATGGATGGTTCCTCTGTCCTGGACTCTGAACTGGAGCAGTGATCATTTCCCAAAGAGGAGCCCCTGAAAGCCTTGACCTAAGAAGCACCCAGCTCCAAAATCAGTTTGTGGAGCCCAGGGATACAAAAGAATATCCAGCAGCCACAGGAAGTCTCAGGTGTTGTGTGCCCCCCACCCCACCCCTAGAAAACTACAGAGGAGCGCCTTGTGAGCTCAGCTGCCCACGCCCATGGGAGGGAGGGAGGGCTACACTTGAGAGCCAGGGATTTCACTGCTTATCAGTCGTGTGTTCCCAGGCGAGTCACTTCATCCTGGTGTGCCTCCGGTACTCTTCCGTTACCTGGAGACCATCCTTCCTTCACAGAGTAGCATGAGATAATGCACATACAGGGCTTATCGTCGTGCCTTGGCCCACCATGCTGCTTACTAAATGGAAACTCTTATTCTTCCACAAAGCCTCCCACAGGCACGCTCTCATTCCCAGTTACACACGTTTGCACCTGTTCACACATGAGGTTTTCAGCTCCTCTCCTGTTTTCACACGTATGTACAGATTCGTGCATGAGCTCTCATTCGTTTTTACCTCTCCAATCATGCAGCACTAGGTGACAAGCCTGGGTTCTGCCCTCATAGAACTTAGAATTTAACCCCCATATTTACTCATGTCAGTCACACACCTCCTATCTCTTTTTGTGGCCCTTGTCTTTGACCTCTCCCTGCCTGCCTTATATGCTGAGAAACAGAGTGGTGAAGTAACTCACCCAAGGATACACAGCCAGAAAGCCAAAAAGTCAGAATTCAAACCTAGGTTACTTGGCTAAACAACTTGAACTTCTAATCGTGATCCTACAATGATATCCCTGGGATTTAGAAAGGAGCATGTGCCAAGGTATAGGTCATGGTGAGCCACCAGGCACCGTCAGAGCCAACACTGGGAAAAGCAGACTGAATGAAGGGCCAGAGAGCAACAATCCTAACCTGAGGGCCAGTGCCAGCCAGGACAACTCAACCCAGTGAGGCTAGCAACTGTGTCTCCTTTCTATTGCCATCCCTCGCTGCCTTATGCCTCTTGTCTGTCCCCTAGAAGACCTCCTCCCTCTGCCTGCATCCTCCTCACAGATACAAGCCTCCATTCCCTCCAGGGAGTAGAAGTGAAATTTTTTTAAACAGTATTGGGGATTGAAGCCAGGGGTGCTCTACCACTAAGCTATGTCCCCAGCCCTTTTAATTTTAAGAAAGGGTCTTGTTAGGTTGCACAGGCTGGCTTCAAACTTGCTATCCATCTGCATCAGCTTCTTGATTCGCTAGGATTACAGGTGTGTGCCACTGAGCCATGCCAAGAGCTACCATTTCTTCTTGAACATGGAAGCCGGGCATTCGGGCTGAGTGCTTTCATCTTTGCTTAATCCTCACAATATCTCTAAGGGGTTTTGTTGTTTGTTTGTTTGTTACCAGGGATTGAACCCAGAAGTGCTCAACCACTGAGCCACATCCCCAGCCCTTTTTGTATTTTATTTAGAGACAGGGTCTTGCTGAGTTGCTTAGGGCTTCACTAAATTGCTGGGGCTGAGACTGGCCTTCAACTTGCAATCCTCCTGCCTCAGCCTCCTGAGCCACTGGGATTACAGGCATGGACCACCATTCCCCACTCTAATGTTATTTTTAATGAACTTGTTCTAGAGATGAGAAGACCGAGGTTCCAGGCTGAGTCTGGCTGTGTCCCTGCCCCCACTAACCTCAGTTTGCAAAGGCCACGACTGCTTAGCCAGCTAATTCCC